GGGTTTGTGTTATTAGAATTTTGTAAAGCTGTTAAACATGATTTTGAGTCTGTGTAAATGACGTATTCCTTAGAGTTTGTTAAATTTTGAATAATTTCTAGTGACTTTAGTATTGCTGTCGCTTCACAACTAAAGATAGAGAGAAAATCCCATAATCTATACCGATAGGTCCTATCATCAGATACTATTGAAATCCCAGATTTTCCATTCATAACTGGTCCATCTGTGTATAAAAGAAAATTTTCAATAAGTCACGGAAAAAATAAAACAAGAAATATTTTCAAAATCAATTTTGTTATTCCACCATCTTTTTTCAATTGACAGCTGACGTCACGACACGCATGAGTAAGCTGAGCTTATTTTGTTTGGCCTTCACTCCAAATCAGTGATACACTAGACAGTGCGGATTGGTGGGTGGTATATAAATATTTTTAACATTGTTGTCAATTGAAGAAGATGGCGGAATAACAAAATTTATTTTGAAAATATTTCTTGCATTATTTTTTTATTTCAACATGACATAAATCTTAATTACTGCATTTTATTTGGCTTTTATTATTTAAAATAATAATAATAATAATTTCTTTATTTCACAATTGCCTGAAATATACCCATATGACGAAATTGGCAAAATAAACAAAAACTACATAAATAAAATAGGACTATCTGAATGTTTATTTCAGACTGTCCCAAATCGATGTAATTTAGTTCAATGTTTAAAAAATATATTGTCCACGTCATCGTGGATATTGCGGAGAATGGAATTCCCACTTTCACGGAGCCTTTCCCAGAACGAAGCGGACCGCGATCTGAGGATACAAAAATCGGGAACAAATGTTCCCGATTTTTTCATTCATTTGTTCCAGCTAACAGTTCCTTCGCACTACAATATCGCGGTTCTTACAGCAGGATGCGAAAGAGGTCATTGTATTGAACACGCAGCGCATGAAATAAACGTTTTGTATATCTCATGTAATTAAAATAAAACTACTCTTAATTTCCCAGTAAGTCGTAAGGGTCGATTAAGCGATTGACTGTGTTTGGAGAACATTGGCTAATGACCTGGAAATCAATCTCAACCCCTTTTAAATTATGCTAAAGTAACCTACTTAGTGATCACACGGCGCCGTCCACTACCTCGGGGAATACGGTAGTGAATTTTCCTCCTAACATACAAATTGTACTGGCTTTATTTTAGGTGAGAATACTACTTAGAAGGTTTGCTCGATAAATTACCACGCATAAATATGGTCTGATAATTCGTCAAAACGCCAATAACTACCTATTTAATTTCGTTTCGTCCATTGCGTCAAAGTTGAAACGGAACACCTAACTATCATTCGGTTGAACCAAGCCGAACTGCATTGTAAGAATAAAATTACGTGATGCAATACTGAAGGAGATGGAGTTGCTGCTGAAAATCGCGTGGCACATAAACCACACCTTAATGACCCTTAGAGGTCTAAGTAATGACCACACTTTGATGACCTATTTGGCCGAGTGGGTGTACGCCGTATGTACGCAGGGTTTCAAGGTGCCGCCTACTTGAGAGGCGGCGAGATTCGAATCCCGGTGGGGACCGATGTTTGTGTGATGAATACGAGCATTTATACTCCAGTTAAGGATGTTTAATATGTATTTCTATATAAATATACTTTTATAATATATATTAGTATATGTATTCTATAGTATTCCATAACACAAGCCAACAGTGCTACTTTGGGGCTAGGCTAATTGGTGTGAGTGTTGGAAATATTTATTTACACATTTTATTTGATAACTTATCATATTTTTTCATCAATAATTTGACCAATCGACTGACTGAGAGAGGACGAAATAAATAAAAATCAACAGGCATTCGGAATTCGGAGATATTTGGAAACTCTTATTGTTGGTGGTTCGGTAAGCTGTCACTTTTGTTTCCAGATAACTTCTTAGATATAAGCAATATCAAATTTTGCCTGTTTAAAATAGGGATCCCCTAAATCTGAACCACCAAATTTACATGGGGATCCGACGGGAATAGAAAATAAAACGGATCCCCCAGGGGGTCGTTTTTAGGGGTCTGGATGGCAATAACTACCAAAAAAATGTTTTTAAAGGTAGAGGTTTCTTGCTTAAATGGGCGCTTATCTTCGACCGGGATATCCCCGATTTTCTACATCAAAATTAGAAAAATTGCTTTATATAGAGCACAAATCAAATGAACACCAATGTGTCCTTGAACGGTTCGGAAATATCTTCTCTGCTATTAAAGAGTCGAGGCTAAAGAAATCCTCGCATTTCGTCAGCGTCACCGAACCGGAACTGTGTTTGGTCGAATCACTTTCATTGTCATCGTCTGGCGATTCTAAATGACCTTGACTATTAATGTCACTGAACCAATGCCCATTATTGAACTTGTAAGAACTTATTCGGACTGCTGAGAAATCGTTTCCTATGTAATGTTTTTTGGTTCACTTAGTATTTCTATCTCTTTGTTCAATGGTCCGTGAGAACTCGAAAAGGCATACTTTCATAGTTGGCAAACAATTTGTGATACATGTATTTTTATAATATGAGAGAGGTACAGCATACCGGGTTTTTTGATCAAATTGGAACGCTCGTCTAAGGAAGTTAGCTTTACCTTACAGAAGACCACAGTGAAATAACACGTGGTGTTTTAGCACCATGCGTTACGCGTTGCGTTTTTTCTTGCATACCAGCAAGATCTGGAATGAACGTCCCTCAGCTGTTTTCTCTCTTAGCTATCATATGACGGTCTTTAAAAGGCGGGTAAACCTTTTCCTTCAGTAACAGCATAGCTTGGTACTGCAAGTGTTCATGGGTGGCAGTGACTACTTACCATCATGTGTTTTTTTCGACAGTTTCCAGAGTTCCACGACGTAGGGGATGTGCAAGGGTAGGTAGGGGTAGTGGCGCAAGTGAACTGGAGCACCGCATGCATCTACATACAGGGCTTCCCGCGGCTATGCCACTTGGAGGAAAGTATGTAATCCATTGGATTGTATACAAATTCGCACTCTTTTAAACAATTATCTGCCTGTGGATTTACTTATCTCTGTGTGGTGAATATCTATCTATATATATAAAACTCAAAGGTGACTGACTGACATAGTGATCTATCAACGCACAGCCCATACCACCAGTGGCGGCGCTAGACCACATGTGGACGTCGGCGACATCAAGTTCGCGAGGCCTATTTTAATTCGCAGTAAAAAACCGTTAAATTAAGTGAGCCAAATTATAAAATAACGTATTAGTAAACGAGTTTTACTCTTGATAATCAAATGATGACAAAAAATAATTACAAACATAGAAATTTAATTACAAAAATAGTGTTGCCAGGCTGACGATTCTGAATACCCGTAAAGTACTTCTCGCTTCCATCACGCATGTATTCGAAAATAATAAAAGTCATTATTATCTGCTTAGCTTTTTCGTCGGCTACCTAAGCCAGGCCAGGAGAAACGAAAATAAATAGGTAACTTGTAAAAAATTTTTGCGAGGCCCCCTCAGGCGCGAGGCCGTCGGCGTTGGCCGACGTCGCCGACCCCTAGCGCCGCCACTGCATACCACTGGACGGATCGGGCTGAAATTTGGCATGCAGGTAGATGTTATGACGAAGCCATCCGCTAAGAAAGGATTTTGATCAATTCTAACCCCAAGGGGATAAAATAGGGAATGAAAGTTTGTATGAAACTTTGACAATTTTAAACCGATCGGGCTAAGACTTTGCATGCAGGTATAAGAAGAATCATAGATGAATGTCATTGTGTATAATACAAGCCTGAGAACAAAAACCGTAGTCTACACCTCAGCTCTACACCGAAGCGAAGCGAGGACGAGCCGCTAGTTTGAAATAAAACGTCTAAGTTTATATTTTCATTTTTAGCCATTTAACTGTTAGGTGTTAAAATCTAAAGAAAATGTTACTAGAAAAACTCCACGCGGAACAGGCAGCAGACAGGACTTGAACCTGCACCCTACTACTATGCCGCAGTAGCAAATGGTCAGTGCATTCGCCCAGATAGCGAAGGGCGCACCCGGAGGTTCGAGTCCCGTTTCTTAAGATTTAATACGTTAAGTTTATTTTCTAAATCCTGCGCACTGTCATATCAGCTCTTGTAAACTAAATCTTTTACTAACATTCATGATCTTCCTATCATTTAAAATGCTATGGTATTTAGGAAAAAATAATACTTAAGATTAACCTATTACCCCTTTACCATAAATACCATGTTTTTTTTTCACATATCACAAGTTCGATTACCAGTTATGGCAAGCGAATAAAAAAAGGGAATGTTACCTATTATTAAAAATAAAATGGTGTTTTCTTTCAGTAAAATATCCTACCTTAAATATTTAATATACTAACCTCCATTTGGCATCATGACCGTGGGACAACCTGTATGCTATGGCGGTGTCTTTCCACCAGGCGAGCAACATGCCAGTTTCCCACCCTTTTTACATAATAAAATAATATCTATTGGTAATTCATATATTATTATAGCAATTGGTGCAGAGTCATAAGTGTGTAACGTAGTCAGACAGACATACGTTGATAGTAAAATCACTTCCGTAGCAACAATGTGACAAACAGGAAAGCTCATTGAATATTTTTTGTGACTTAGCAAGATTTATTCCAAATAAGTATGGAAGTCCTAAAGAGAGGGGTATAATAAGGGCAACCTACTGCGCAAGACACGAGTTATAATGTGAGGAGGAGACGTGAAATCATATCATATCATATCGTCGTCGTATTGCAATAATGAAATAACTAACAAAACCGATTTTTGTCTTTTTTTGGGTACATAGGTAAATTTTTCTTAATAATAAAGTTAAGAGATATTTAGTGTCGAACTTTTGATATGTTGTACAACATACAACATTACTAACCTGGGAATCTACCTTGTTTATATAAAATAAAATAAATATCTCAATAGTTGGGTCTTGTTAATTACTTAATTCTTCCACTACGACTATTTATATATTTGATGTATTAAACTGCTTGATTTGTTTGTTAAGTAGTAAAATCTTTTTGTTTATTTTTAATAACTGTACAGATACTACAAAATTGTTACCTTTGTTGTAAGCTAAAAATTTTGTGAAAATAAGAACACCAACATTTATTTTAGAAATCGCCTTAAAATTTTAAAAGTGAAGAGAAATAGCCAATGATTTTTAATTTTTTGTAGTGTGAATATTGTTATTTTTGTGAAAGACTTTTATGCTTTTGTATAACTCTACATTACTTTTCTACCAAAAGTAGTAATGATAGACAAAATCATGTATAAAAAGTACTTCCTATCTATGTGAAGGTTGAAGATAAATTGAAACATAATATTTATTTATATTTTTTATATTTTGATAACAAAAACTATGAAAGAAAAGCAACAAACAATTAAATCCTATATATAAAAAGAACAGTTGTACCTATTTCATATAAAAAAGAACAGCAAAACCAGAACAAGACACAATACAACTAGTTTGAAAATCAAACCACTTGCCTGATTTTGGAATCCCTTTCTATAACATTATAACAAAACTTTCAGTCTTTCCTTTTTTAACTAAAGGGAAAACACGAAGACATAGTATAGCTCATGAGAAAAATTCAAGTGCTCATTCAGTACCTATTGAAATATGATCAAAACTTTGTAGCCACACATAATCTCTTCACAAAACGGTTAATAATATAACAAATAACAAAACACGATAACAGATCAAGGAATAACAGAGAATTTAGGCGTTTAGTGACCTTTCTTGTGGTCCCAGTGCTTGTGGTGCTCATGACCTCCCTTCTTGCCATGATCATGATGATGATGATGATGTTCGTGATGACCGTCTTCACCGTGGTGGCCCTTGTGGTGGTGATGATGACCTCCGTGATGATGATGGTGTCCCTTGCCGTGATGGTGTTCATGGTGGCCGCCGTGCTTGTGTCCGTGATGGTGGTGACCGCCCTTCTTGTAGTGGCCTTCGTGGTGGTGGCCTCCGTGGTGCTCTTTATGGCCCTTCTCACCATGATGGTCATGGAAGTGCTTATGCTTCTTGAATTCGTCGTGTTTGTCGACCTCGTGGTGTCCCTTCGTGTCGTGTCCCTTGTGGTGGTGGCCGTGCTCATGGTGACCGTGTCCATGTTCGCCCTTCTCTCCGTGCTCATGATGGCCATGGTAGCCTTCGTCGTGGTGGTGGTGCTTCTTGTGTCCACCATGCTCGCCATGGTGACCTTTGTGGCCCTCGTGGTGATGATGTCCTTTGTGGCCATGATGATGCTCGTGGTGGCCCTTGTGTCCCTTATGGTCGTGGTGGCCGTGGTCATGATGGTGATGTCCATGGTGCTCATGGCCACCACCCTTGTCCCAATGGTGTCCTCCGTGGTGTGACGCTGCCGGCTCTAGGTCGGCATCGCCCTTCTCTCTCAGATCCTTGGCGGAGGCGAATGCTGCCAAGGCAACAATGCCGAACACTACCAGAAGACTACTTCTCATGATTGGAGGCTGCACTCGTTGAATGATACTGTCGGTTGTCAATTTGATTTTATATAGTGATTTATCGATCGCAGTTGGGTAAGCTGTCGTAGCGTAGTGTCAAGGTCGCGGTAGATGTTGGAAGAGATTTCCAGTTTCCAGGTCGTTACACCGTGCACTTACTTCCATGCAATAATAAATTGTTAATGGTTTCTAATTGTATTTTTTATTGGGCATATAGTATAATATTATTAAGGCAGAATTATTATATTGAACTTATGAAAATGCATTTTATTTATTCAGAGCTTTGATACAATTAATTGAATGAAGTATTTTATAATTTTGCAGGTATTTGATTATCAAGACCATTATTGTAAACAATTTGAGAAATAGTTTAATTCAGCTATTTGTATGTTATACCCAATGAATTGATTGTATAATTAAATATTCATATAAACTCGTTGTATCACAAAAAGTTTATTTTTTTATTTCAAACATTATAAGAGATCGAAAGAAGCTAGAGATGATTTTTCAATGCACGGGGAGCTATCGCAATTATTTCATGCGTGGATTGACTTGCGATACGCAATAGAACTACAAATTTATATTGAAATAAACATAAACCTTTTTTATTTAATAATTAAATTATATGTATTATTTAATAAAAAACTAATAGTTTTAGAAACATATAGAGTACATGTAATTAAATTGTGTGGTTAAAGTGGGGCATCAGACCTACAATTTTAAATTTAAACAACAATCACTCTCAAATTATTCATGTGAATTTTTAGGTCAGTTAGTGAAAACGAAACAGAACGTCCTATTTTCATGTCACCATTTCTACTATTTGTTTTCCAGCGGAGTTGGCAATGCGGTCATCCCCACTAATCATAATAATCAAAATCATTTATTCAGTTTAGGCTGTTACACTCATGAATGTCTAGAAGCTACGCTATCGGTTTGTAAACCGGCAAGAAACTTAGCATGGGCTGTTTTTTTTCTCCCTGCTTTATTATTTACAGAGTGGTCAAGTTGAAATGACTTCCGAGATTATTCATGAAGTCACCTTTTAATTACACAATGTGAAATTATACATTAATTGTTCACCTGCATTTTGATAGCTTGGTCATACAGTATAAATACAAATAGTGTTATTTATAATTTTATATTAGGTGTAACTAGACATTAACATCTTAAATATCTAATTATTGTAATGTCCGTTGAGTTACAGCCTCCTTGCTTGGGTAAACTCTTTGTTCATGTAATACCTACGGCTGGCAGTTATATTAAAAAGTTAATGTCATGATTTTAAATATTTGAAATTGGGAAACTTCTTTTTTTTATAGAAGATTCCAGCAAATAGAAATCAGGCACCACAACATACGGTTACATATTAAGCTACAATATTCGCCTTGATTTCTAATAAAATAACATATTATAAAATAAAATCTAATTAGTTTTCATTCGTAAAGTTACGCTCCCAGGGCCTATCCCTTCAGGATAGATCGCCGCAGTAGTTAGGGCAGCCTCATCTCCGCTGGCATCACCCGTTTAGCACTCCACCTGCTTTTAAATGGATTAGCTTGGACGCACACATACGATTCGTTCCGTTCATTCTTTTTGCAGATCAGGATGCTCTAATTCCGAATTCCCAGAGCCAGCTTGTACATGTCTAATTTTGTTCTGACTCCAACATGCGGAATAGCCTCAGGATTTGTTGGCAAACGAAAAAAGAAACAAACAACAAACAGTGTTTGGCTTTCAGTGCATTTCCAGATATTGGGAAGGTTTCTCTTTGCTTCTTTTCTGTTTATTGATTTCGTCAGTATGTAATTTGTACCTTATTGTAAAACTGTGCTTAAAAACTGATTAATACTTTGGATTTTATTATGTACCTATTCGAAATGGGCGTACGCACTTACAATTTACAATGTCATATTCAACGTTGAATTTGTTTCATACACATCTTTTCTGTTCTAATGTCTAAAATTCTCTCGTATCAAGATATTTTCCTTTTAATTGTTTAGTAATTAACAAATATGAAAATAATTTGGACAACGAAGCAGGGTTTACGTTTCAATTTGATGTTAACCTTATAAATATTGTGATGTTAAATTCCCCTCTACTGCCCTCTCTTCGCTCACTCAGAGCACCGGGGGAACAATAAAAGAAAACCAAAAAAATTAAGATAATGTTATAAGTATATTTTATCCACTTTAGATACCAAAGCATAGGAATTCAGTAGTTTTAAGTTATTGCTTATATAAATCAACAAGTCTAACTATGTTTATTATTTATATAATAACTATGTTTCACTAATTATAAATATCTAAGCTGAATACAGTAGTTCAAAGTTAATGTGTATATAAACCAACAAGTTGTCATGAAAGGTTATAATTATATGAATATCAGACATTCATAACACTTTACCATGTACTTACAATATAACCCTTACTAATATATTTTATCCACAAATACCACATAGACTAGACTGAATAAGCTATTGAGTGGATTTCAGAGGTTCTACGGCTCGTTTGATCGATATTGGTGACAAACTTAGTTAATTCTAGTTCTCAGTGAGATAACCAGTTATATAGGTATATGTAAATATATGGAAATGGGCAAGTCGGGGTCCAACCTCGCCTGGTGGTTTCTTTTCACGTTCACCCGGGGTTAGTAGAGAAATACCTTGATTATGACAGGTTAAGCTGTGTATAATCTGTCTGCTGTTACGGCCGGGTTACATGAAACCGGAGAGCGGCTGGCAAATAAACTCCCGCGTCCCTTCTGGTCCGTGCACAGAACAAAAGTCTCCTTGTTAGTCCTCCAGTATTTCTTGAGGGGAACGTACAATCCTGAAGTTCACATTGAAAAAGAATGATCAGATATGGGGAAAATACATAGATTACCACATCTGTGGTGGGTGAGGGAGTGAGGGATATTCACGGTCAAAGTTTACACTTTAAAATTTGAATCACTACAGGACTGGGGGCCCGTCCCACCCGGTTTGAAGAAAATCAATTCCACGTTCACTAACTTGACAAGAATGATTAGGTATATTTGATGACAAGAATCACTATATTGTGCATAATGCAGTTCAATTAGTGCTAGGAGAATAAATATGAGGTCAGATGATAGCTTACCGTTCGAAATATGAAACTATCCGTAAGTATTTTGTTTCCTATCACAAGTTACCGCCTTATTATTGCAATCGCCTTGCGAAGGTTCGTGTTCGTCCACCTACGATACAGAATATCAACAGAAAGGTTATTTTCACAGCCCAAACTTGCAAATTATGTAGGAAAAAGAGCCACTCCAATATACCTACGAAACTCAGTTCGGTTAGCGACTCCGCGCTTTTTCCGCCAATATCCTTCGGGATATAAACTTTTCGGATCTATCTCACGACTTCGACGACAATAATATGCCGTTTATTATACTTTGGGCAGAAGAAAAGATGAAAAGTTAACTGTACCACAAACAGATTGTGAAATTTTAAAAGTTGTTTTGACAATTGCTCATAGATGATAGACGGATCGTCTACTCCCCAACATGTGTCTATGATTTGTTTCCCACTTCAACTGAAGGCAAAGGCCACAGTCAAACAGACAGCCGCCGCATTCGAGACGAACCGAAGAATAAACTCAAAACTATATACCTACGCTCGCCGTAAGCTGAGGAAAAGGGAATACCTACCCAAATCAGCGAGGAAATTCAATTTCGAGTAAAATTCAAAATCGATTAAAAACAGCACCCGATAATGAGGACTCAAATCGATCTGGGAAAGACTATTCAAAATTCAACAACTGTCAAACTCCATCCATTCATCCACGCGCCCCCACAGAGATTCCCCGCCTGATTACTTTTATAAGTCTCAAGGCGAATATTTTAGTCGAATAGGAAAATCGACTCTTCCCTCAAGGCTACCAACCCAATCAATGAAGTTTGACAGCTACGCTGACGTAAGCGGTTCGCTATCATAGACAAAACAGCTGTCCTACGTGTGTCAGTGTCACGCTCTGTTTAAAAACAAACACTACAATATTTAATAACCGAATATTTTTTGTACAAATTCTACGTTTGACACTCGTATTTCAATTCAAAGTAACAAATAGGTACACAGTGAAAAGAAATCACAAAACAAACAAGTGCCGATGGTCACAAAAATTAATTAAAGTATTTCAAACATATTTTCCTTTGAGTTTCAACTGTAAAAAAAATCTATAAACTTCCGTGTCCGCTCCTCTATCGGCCGAGTGAACGTCGAAGTCTTTTGCGATAAAAGCAACTTAAAAGATAACCATAATTGAAATGTCAAGCACACTCTTTGTATTAACTTTTAAAAGCTAACAATTTCGCGGATTTTATTTAACATGGGAATAGAATTTACCAAATCTCTAGCAGTGATATAAAAATAAGAGAGTTGAAAATATTTCTACTTTCAGCCAACGAATGACGTTTGAATTTCCATTCCATTGATAGTAAAAATGTTATCCTTTTTTCCATTAAGTTGATAAACATAAAAATAAAAAATAATCTCATTGCCGTAACTTTTGAAGTAAATCAAATCAAATTACAATAAAAGTGGCCCCATTCAAGACGCGTGTTTTTAGGGTTTTGAACGCAAAGAATGACTAACATAATACGCCTATTAATATGACTCCACTGCCTGTCTGTTACAAGCGTCTTTCTCTTAAACAGAAATACGAATAGTGGCTGCTATCACATCAAACAGTTAAGGAAAAGGTATCCCACGCATATTGTTTTCAAATCAATAAAAAAAAACGTGTGTTCAAGTAATAGGATATTTGATAAGTTTTAGAAAACGATCTCACTTTATTTACTAATGTTCATAGAGTCCATTAAAAGATATGGATATTCATCATTATGTTATGTGTTTCGGTAAAAAAGACTAAATCAAAAACTCTATTTTCAAGTTGCCGCGAAAACGTATCTGTGGACAATATGGCGCCTCACTGGTGTGTATCGTCACATGACTATCATTAAAACTTCAAACCATACAATCTAATGTCACTTTAACCGGAAGTTT